GGCCTTTGACGGGGTCAAAGACATCTTTCTTTATGCACCACTAGTGGTATTGTCAGACCCTTTCAGTGTTGTTTGTGAGGCTTAAGACTTTTCCATCGGCTGTACACTGCTGCAAGCAGACGCCGAGGGGCGAGATCGGGTGATTGCGTTCGAATATCGCCAGCTCAAGGCTGCAGAGAAGAAATACTCAGTTCACGACAAGGAATCACTTGCGATGAAGCATGCGCTTGTCTAGTTCAGGCTTGGCTCAAAGCCGTTTGTGATCTACACAGATCACACGTCATTACGCACTGCGATTCAGTCGCCTCAACTCTCGCAGAAGATGGCCAGGTGGCTTCCATTTTTCGCAGAATATAACTTCGAGGTAAATTATAAGCCAGGGTGCTTTGGCTGATGCGTTGTCACGTAGACCGACTTATAAGCTTGCTCATGCTCCGACGGTGACGTCGTCAGTGACGAACCTGATCCGCGTCGCATACGCGGGTGATAGTAGCTGCTACAGGCTATCGGAAGCAAGGAGTTTGAATACTCGGACAAAGCATTGTCAGCGCGATTGCGCGCACGGTTACATCGATATTCGTAGAATAACGGGTTGCTGTAGTATAGAACCAGTTCGACGGATACGCCACAAATTGTGGTTCCTCACAGTGATAATTTGAATGCCGTATCCTCTATGAGGTCCACGACACCCCACTCAGTGGTCATCTTGGTCGTGAGAAGTGTGAACTGCCACTATTGGTGGTCCAAGCTGTACAAAAAATGGACGAGCACATATGAGCGGACATATGAGACGCGTCCAAGGATAAAGTCCTCTCCAAATGCGGCGGCGTCACTGGTCACTGGCCAGTTCACCGGTAATCTATACAAAAAATGGACGAGCACATATGTGCAAACGTGTGAGACGTGTCCAAGGATAAAATCCTCTCCAAGTTCGGCGGCGTCACTGGCCAGTTCACCGGCAGTCCGAAAGTATGAACTTTGTGTTTGGCCTGCCGAAGAAATCGGCGGGGGACACTGGTCTTTCTGGACCATTTGAGCATGATGGCTCATCGTGCGGCAGTGCCGGACACTATTGACGGTGTGGGTACAGCGACGCTGTTTGTCGATCGTGTCTTTCGACAAAATGGACCCCCGGAGTGAATTGTCTCTGATAGAGACCCACGCTTCATTGGGAAGTTTTAGTCTACGGTCTACAGTGTGCTGGGCACCAAGTTGACTATGTCAACAGCGGACCATCCACAGACCGATGGTCAGACTGAGTACGTGAATCGCGTCGTTGAAGACGTTCTTTGCAGCGTCTGCGCTGAGACGCCTAAGCACTGGAGCGCATGTTGCCACTCGTAAAGTTCGCCCCGAACAATGCAGTGCATTCTTCTACCGGCTACACGCCGTTCTACGGGAACGGGCTAGTTAATCTTCGCGCCCCGCTGACGCCGCCATACCATGGCTCAGAGCTTGGTGGGGGAGAAATAGCCGAACGGCTAGCTTATGTCAGCCCCTCAGTGTCCGTAAAGAAGTTGACGACTTTTATTATACCAGACTGAGTGTCCCACAACACGTTTGCGGTGCGATGGCTGAAAGCCAAGACATGCAGAACGAATATGCAGATGGAAGGAGCAGAAAAATATATGAAAACTTTGATGCGGAGACTTGGTTTCACTGAGCGCTAAAAACCTTCCTACACATACAGCCTCTGCTGCCCTTAAGGCAAAGCTTCGTCCACGATGTATCGAACTTTCAAGGTTGTGGCCAAGCAAAACGTATACGCTAACCTTCCGAAACGGAAGCGCACCCACCCGGTGTTTTGACGGGTTTGCTCATGCCGTACCGGGATCCGGCGCAAGTGAACGCGGAAGCGTTGGAGCCGGAGCGGCGCCCACAGGCGCTCGACCACCCAGAAGCTGGACCAGCAACTGGTTTTGAGCACGGAGTGCAATGATCTCCATTTCCGACGGCGAAAAGCCTTTTACCTTCAAATGAAGCGACGCAGTCGTCTGCTTAACGGCTAGGAGCCGCTCCGACAGAGCGCGATAGTCCTCAACGTGAGGCATCCGGTGCACAACGTGCTCCAAGCTCTCTAGGTCTTCCGCCCAGCGGTATGCGATCTCAGCATGACAGTGGACTCCCGATCGCGAGGGACCTCATGTCGAAAAGCCCGAAAAGCATCGCATGTCACCAGACGGCGATCGACTAGTCGTCATCGTCCACCGCCGAAGATTCTCGGCGAGAATGGTGGTGTCCACGACACGTGGGACGTCTTGTGAATCGACGTCGTCGCCAGAGTCAAACCCAGTATCTTGTAACACTCGTGGGAGTTTGAAGTGCCACTTCGGCAAGACTGCCCAGACGTCGTGGACGCTTATGATCAGACGGATCACGACGTTCCGTGCCGTCATACGCCCCTCGCTTCTCGGCAATAGCCAGGGAAGCTGACGGGCCATGAGCAGCTTCAGTTATGGCTCTGAGCTGCTGTGATCGCAGACTCACCCAGCAGACTCACCCGTGTGAGAGACCGCAAAGCTCGCAGACTCACCCGTGTGAGAGACCGCAAAGCTCGCGGGAGCGTGCTGGGTTAGTCGCAGGGTGACGATCCGACGGAAGTCGGTGACGCGCCTTGAATTTGACAAACTCAAACCGAAGATGTCATTCCATGCGCGTTGTGGCACAACTGGTAGCTATACAGCTAGAAAATTTTCTGGTGCCGCTGCACTCATCGCTCAATAGCCCTTTGTTTTCTGCAGTGGTTTTGCCAGGGAAAGCACCACAAGAATCGTCCGCATCATGGGTACAGTAGCGTCTCCTCTTCGAGCACGAAGTCGCGTGCGGCACATATCCACCAGGGTTTCTTGAGGAAACAAGAAGTGAGCTCGGAGAGCTTTCCATTCGTAAAGCTCATCTTGCGTGGTGGTCCGGGTCCCGATCACGTAGACGCCCAACGATAGGGTGATCGTGTCCTTCGCTTCTGTAGCGGAATAGCCGAGCGAGAGCCGTATTCCACACGAGGGTCAAAGACCGACCGTGCAAACGCGCGCATGGGAGCTGCCCTGCGGACAGCATCCAGCTGCTGCTTCTGTGCCTCGTCGAGGTCACTAATAATGACACCCCTTCCCCCGAAGTTTGAGAGGTCGGGAATCGGACACAGCGTCCACATGGGTCGAGCAGGCTCACGTCGCGCCGCTGCGAACATCGCCCTCTCCTTCTTCCCATCCTAGGAAAGGAGTCACCAACTCGTAGTTGACTTCCTCACAATCCTCGACGAGGTAATCCATCGTCGGTGGCGGGCGCGGTGCGCGGTCGGGAGTAAACATCGCGTCTGTGTTCGAAGTCGTGCGACTGCTGCGCGGTACTCAGTTACCGAGAGATTGGGTTGCGCTTTCCTAAAAGCCGCGGACGTGCTGTCCGAGGTTTCACCGCGTGTGGGAAACGAAGAAGGGTTCTGCCCGCGGGTGTTTTCCGAACCAGCGAGGCTGGGGGTTCTTCTGTGCTCTCGACGCAGGGCTCATTCAGCAAAGAAAACCGTGGTGTTCTAGACACGCAAACCTCGCTCAAGACGACAAATGAATGTGAACTGTAGGTGTTGATGGGGGGAGTGATACGGCCCACACAATGGTGTGGGTTGCAAAAGACGGTGTGACCACAAAATGGTTTGGATACGCTTATACAAGAAGTCAGTACGTGGCTGGAAAGCCAGTAGTTACACATTCAATTGGGGTTTTACTAAATCGATAGAACACCCTATAGATTTAGATATAGGCGGCTTTGCCGCAAACAAAACCGAGAAATGTCTTTACGTTTTAACAGAAGAGCTAATTAGCCTTAGGTTAAGGTTGTAATTACTTTTGGAGTAACTGGATTGCGATCCGCTACACTCGTATTGGTTATAAGTTGAGAACGAACGTCACCAAGCTTCATGAAGCTTCCTCTAAACGAATGAGCTATGGCAGTCCCGCTGCAGTTTGAGTCGAAGATCTTTCGTACAAGGGCATTTTTATCCGGGTGTGATCTCTTAGTGTTGTTTGAACGGCACATACGACATTGACTACGACGATGGTGAGAAGAAGAATCTCTTTTCTTCTCTAAACGTCACACAGAGATTTCAGCTACCGGAACTCACATGCGAGGATTAAGTTCTCTCAAGGGCAAAATGCTGGTAGCTAACCGATCCGTTTTGGGACCGAGTTTCGTACTCCTCGTTACACTATTAGGCTTTTTCGGTCAGTGGGACCTCCTCCCACCCAACTGTCACACACCCAATTGGGGGCTTGGCAGGGCAGTCGCACCACAGGGATGTGATTGCTCATCCACTTTATCTCCGGCGTCCTCGATTCATATCCAATAGGTATCGAACCAGGTACCTCCCAGTCCCAGACCAAGTTACAAACCACTTGAGCCAGAGATCGGTCTCTAAACCTGGCAGAGCAGACAAGATATGATTTCAGCCTAATGGCAACCCCGTCGATGCTCACACCGATTTATACCTTGGCTCTGTCATCATATCTCGGTCTGATATTCCAATCTTCACATTCTTCATTTGCGCAGTCGATTGATTACATATACAGCATACCAGTCCAACTACACCCTCGTCTTCTTTAAGAAATTAGCAGCATCACGATATCGAGTGTATATTCTATACAACCAAATAGTCTTACTCAAGCCCACAAAGACACCACAATGTGAAGTTGACTGCGTTATTCTCTTTCCGTTGCATAACATCCAGTGTGATAGCGAATATAAAGTGGACCGGCAGCACTCTACATTAATTCTAGCAGCTTGGTGAATTGAATGTAGATCAGTGTGTCGATAGATCACCTTGGTAGATAATACGCTGGCTTTGTCGAGACAGTAGCATCAGCGAATGCTGTAATTTATTAATGGAACTTGCCGTATTAAGTTGATCTCTTAAGAAATTTTGCATTAATAATCTAACCTTACTACAACTATTATTATGCGTATCAATAGTTTCGCGGATATTTGCATTCCGCATCCACAAAACTTCGATCATGGACACTTCGCTATGGGAGCATCAACGAGAGATCGTGGCAGTAGCGCGCCACCGCAGCGTGCTGGTGAGTAGCTCTCAGTCGGTGGGCAAGACATTTGCAAGCTGCACATTGCTTTGCGAGTCCGCAGCCTCTAGTCCACAGCTTCACGCTCTAGCAATTGCCGCATCGCCTTTAGGTCGCTTAACTTTACAGACGCAGCTAGCGAGAATGTGTGGATTCCGTGTGCTTTGTAGTGATGCAGAGAAGTCAAGTTTGTGGATAGAGGACGGTGCATTCGCCCGGAATCAATTTCAAGCTGCTCGCGGCCAGATCGCGGTCTTGTCACCCCTGGTGCTTCAAGAAGCGCTGCGCAAAGGCATCTTGACGCTTGCAAGTGTAGATTTTCTTGTTGTTGAAAATTGGGATCTTGTCCATGCCGAGTTGCCATCGTTTTTTAGGCTTCTGACGGACCTTATAGAAGAGTTACCGACCGCCACGACGCTACGAATCTTTGCGACGTCACGGCTGCCAGCGTCTAAGATGGACTGGAACCCAGTGACAAATCCATTGCTTCGCCATATACACGTATTAAATGTGCTGCCAGTTTTGCCCTCTACGTCTGCTGAGCCAGCATTTCCACCATTACATTGCGAAGTGTTCAAATCTTTGAAAAAAGATGATGCAGTCTGTGTAAGGGATTTTTTACTCGGTGAAAACTCTAAAAAAGTCGATTTGCTACGTATCTTTCGATTAGAGCTTGAGCTGGGAAATTCCGCCGCGATATACGATGAGCGCAAAAAACAGGACAAGGTTAATCGTTTCATTCAGGATGCTGAAGCGGTAAAAGAACATCTGGGAAAATGGTGTTTGTGGAAGTTTATCGAGCTGGAACTGCAGGCAAATTTACAGGCGTGCATTGTACTCGACCCGGACAATGTAAATAGTCGTAAGAAACGCAAACAAGACGATGAAAACGATGAGATGGATGAAAAAATAGCAAAGTGTGACTCAATGAGTGATTCAGAAGGTGAAGAGGTCGAGGAAGACGCAAGTGAACTGGGGAGGTCAGAAACTGGCAGTAGCATTAGCAACGTCAGCAAATTGGCTGGAACGAAAACTGAACGGCTAATTGAACGATTTATTGGGGTTGATGTGGAGCTGGAAGAGCGCACTAAGGAAAAAATTCGCCCGGTATTGAAAGTGTTGTCTTGGCTATCTGCACAAGCAAAAATTTGTGGGACGCATGAGGCGACACCGCGGCTATTAAAGAGCGCTGAGATAGTGCGAAATCGTTTTAGTAATGCCATAGGGAAGCAGGATGTCCGAGCTTGGGTGTTTCTTGAACGACGGTGTCACTGCCGCGTCGTAGCTGAGTACTTGACAGCTTTACTGTCCGATTTAAACTTGCCACCTAGTTGCTGCATGCTTGGCAGTAGCAACGCTCGTATATCTGGAGCGTTGCGCTTCTCCTCGTTTCTGAAAGTGATGCAAATGTTTACTAGCTACAAAACAAAAATAATGGTGACCACCTCAGTTTCGAATAGCTCGCAGAAAATGCGCATGGCTCCACCTCCTTGTGATCTTGTGGTTATAATGAATGAATTGCTGGAACCCAACAAGTTATACGAATTTTGCAAACGCGCAGATAACTCGAAAGGCTTAATTAAATACATTACGGAGGACACGATGCTGGCTCGGAAAAACTTTGAAGGACTCGTTCGTAAAATGCAGGAATTTATTCAGCTGGAGAATGAAAATATCCAAGCTAATACCACTACTACTCATGCAGCAGCAAGTCATGATTGCAGCAGCATTCAGAGATTCTCCTCTCAGTCTACACCAGACTCAGCGGATTCTACATTGGCGTCACTGGAAGTCGAAAGGCGACGTTCGATGATTTTAAAACGAGCACAATCTGTTACAAACCAATACGAAATTGTCAATCATGACACTAAAGCGATAATGAATGTGGCAAATAGCGTATCGTGCTTAAGTAAATTTTGTGATACGCTTCCTGGCTTGGACACGTACGACCGCCGCCCACAGTATATTATCAGGCGAATTTCTATTGTGAATCGCATGGCTCCGTCACTGAAAAAGGCAAAAAAGAAGCTTTTGAAGTATAATGCAAAGCTGACTGACAAGATTGACGATCTTAAAAGCGAGGCAAACCAGCGAGCTAGAGATAAGAGCGGAGGCAAAATCTCTAATGGTGAAGATGAAACCGATATCGTGCAGGACACGCGATTTCAATATTCTGCTACACTCAAACTACCAGGTGCCCTCGGCATTAAGAAACAGCTTCATTCGCATCAAGTTTCAAGTCTAGAAGAAGCCAAGGGTATTGTCGCTTTCAAAGCCGTTCAAGAACTGCTCAAAAAGGGGTTGTTGGACCGATACTTCCGGTCCAAACTTCTGGATGACCAAATAAGTACTATTCATGAAGATGACGGACAGCCCGAAATGAGCAACAGCGAGTGCACTACCGATGATACGATTGTTCTTGGAGAGAAAGAAGATATAGCAACTCTTCAGCCTCAGCTGAAAGATCTTTCGACACAGTCATCCTATGACTTACCACCAGTAAGTGCGCGTGAGTTGAGTCTACGCCCTATTCGGAGCCTTTCGCAAGAAGCTGCTAGTTGCATTGAAGAAGGAGAAGAGTGGTCAACTACAATGTGTTTATACGGACTAAGTGGTGCAAATTACGCTATCTTGGCGACTAACGAGTTATATACTGGAAACACTAATACGGGCTGGCGCTACGACTTCGCAATAAGTGGCGTGATGTCGCCTGAAATCCAGCCGATTACTTTAGCAAAGCAACCCATAAAGCTTACATTAACGAAGCAGGAGCTTCAAGAAGTGCTACACTTTCATTTAGTAGTCATGCGGCTTGTCTGTATGGGAGTACAAGACGCAGTGCGTGACGTAGACGCTGCGAGTGAAAATGTGTGGAATGAATTCTCGGAACAAAATGACAAGGGGTATCTGGTTGTACCAAGCGTATCGGACGAATCGAAGCAATCGACAACGGTGTCACTGGACTGGGTTTGTGTCCGTGATATTATTGGAAAACCATTACTTGAGCCCTTATGGCCATTGCCTACCAGTTGCGCTAAGGATAATGAAATTACTGAGTGGATTTGCGTACCAACGCATCGCCTAAACGTCAGCTACGTTGTACAAGAATTATCGAATCGTACTGTTGATGATATCCGCAAAGAATATCTGGCAGATGATCAAAGTTGGGTGACTCACCTCAAAAAAGGAAAGTCAACGCCTGGAAATCCAATTCTTGGTCGTTGGCATACTCGTCAACAGCTCGAAGAAGCCGATTCGGACCAGCCGCTAATTTATGGCATACAAACCCCTCCCATTGTACCTATTATTCGCAGAGTTATGCAGCGTAATAACGAAGAAGAAAGTATTGCACAAATGAAAGCTAAATTCAATGAACGCTATCTAATCCCGCAGTACACATCGCGATTGCGGCTTTCGAAAACTCGTTTCTTCGACGCGATGGGGCTAGTTCCACTTTTGTTTGAGTTTGAACGCAAATGTCAAATCTCCCACCTCATGGGAAAAATTGGTTTGGAGCTCGACATGTCATTGCTAGATGACGCGACTACAAAACCTGCATATGAGCGCTTGGAAATACTAGGGGACACCTTTCTCAAACTTGAGACCTCGTGGTATATGTATGCGCAGCATAAAGATATTATTCAGGAGGGGCAACTTACGCAGCTTCGTCGGGATATAATTCGTAATGACCGACTTAACGAATTTGCACTCGCAGCTCGTTTGCATCACTACATCATGTACCCAGCCGAAGTAGAACAGCATCCTTTTCAGTGTTGGAAGCCATCGTGTATGGGTAAGACGCCTGAGCCGGTAATAGCACCAGCAAAGTGGATCGCTGATGTTCTTGAAGCTATTACTGGCGCATATTTGGTCGGTCAAGGAGAAAAGGGTGCTCGCTATTTTCTTAAATGGATTGGAGTTAGCGTCCTCGAAAATCCATCTTTCACCTTCGCACGGCCATTTTATCCGGATTGTTTTCCCAACGAACTATACGATGCGACAATGACGTCACACGGAGGAGAGCAGCATCTTTTAAGCATTAACATCAGAGCACCACAATTTGAAGACCTCCCAAAGCGACTTGCGCTTCTCCAGCAGCGTTTAAAGTACACTTTTTGTAACAAACGCCTTTTGTTGGAGGCTGTTACGCACCCGTCAGTTGGTCAGCTTGTCTTGCATATCGACCAAATGGTTGCTAGTGAAGCTGATGAGGTTATGGATAACAACAGTAATGAGATGAAATCGCGAACACAGAAAAATAAAAAAATGGTATGGAAGGGCAACTACGAGCGGCTGGAGTACCTGGGCGACGCGTTGATCGAGTATTTAACGCTGTCATACGCCTTTTTGATGTACGATAAATGGCTTCCAGGGTCACTATCGCAGTGGAAGAGTGCAACGGTATCGAACGATGCGCTAGGTAAAACAGCGCTGGCATGTTTTGGTGTCGATGAGTGCATCTTTGCTGGAGCCGTTCGGATCGACCGAGAGACAATGGATCGCGTTTCCAATATTGAACGAAAGTACGCACGGTTTGAAACAAATACAGGTTTGAGTCCTGCATTCGAAGCCGTCGACGTAACACGAAAAGTTAAGACAAAGGGCCAAAGTGTTCCAAACGGTGGCAACAATCACTCGCTGCCTAAGATGTTTGCAGACGTGTTTGAAGCGCTTGTTGCAGCTGTGTTCTTAGACTCCGGACGAGATCTGCAGCTTGTCCGTGATGTGTTCATGGGGCCACTACTAGACACTGTGGGAGAAGATGCATACGCTTATGTTTGTCATGAAAGTGGATTAGCAATCGGCAATGATGGTGATGAGTTGATGGAAGACTTAATGTTTTCGAGTGATGACGAAGACGAATGAAGATACGATTACCCTTCTCAGGTCAAAACAAATAGTTCATTTTCTCAGGGTCTCTCTACTTTTTCAAACGGATTGACCAAGAGGTTTCCAAAGTTGACAGGTGTATCAACAACATCAGCATCTAATCGTACTCATTTTCTTGGTACTGAAATTTACTGCAGCTTGTCAAGAATACGCAAACCCTGTTCATCGTACTCTTTTTTAAGCAACCAAAATGCATCATTGTCCTTCATGACATCAGCGAGCACACTACCACCTTGGAATACCAAGTGTTTGCGACGAGGAGGGTCATTAATTCGCAAGCGAAACTTGCTAAGGCGACTTTTGTCACCCTTAAGTACGTCATTGAGGTATCGCTGTTTAATATCCTTTTCCAGACGACTGGGTAGACCCGGGTACATACTAGAGCCACCCGAGAGCACGACGTTCTTGAAGAATTCCGTACGCAGATCAATGTCTGCCTTCATGCACATGTCAAACACCATGTCGCTCAGTCCGGCGCCTTCAACGTCAATTAAACTCGGATTAAATAGAGCTTCTGGAGCCTCAAAGCGTTCACGACCCAGTCGCACCACGCGACCGTCCGGCAATTCATACGATTCTTCGAGAATAGTTGTTTCCAAAGCCAATTTGCGCTCGGTGGCCGTGTCGTAAGCCACATAACACCATTTTTCCTTGATTTGACGGGCCGTCTCAAAGTCAGCCGTGCGGTTCAGAGGATATCCGCGAAGTAGCATGAGCTTAATGAGATAGTTGGTAATGTGGCGGCCAGCGACGTCTAAACGGCATATCAAATGTTGCGGTACATACCCCTGATACACTGGAACAACGTGTGTGACACCGTCGCCCGTGTCAATGACTACACCTGTGGTAATACCCTGCGCGTACAAAGTCAACATGGCCTGCGTCGTGATGTTGCAGCCTTCAAACCCATATTTTTCAAACATGGTTTCGACAAGCTTCTCGCGATTGCGCTTGGGATTCAGTGGCGGCTCGGTAAGTAGAATCCGGTGGCCTTTGGGGTCAATCGCTAGACGCTCTTTAAACGTATAATCCCATAGTTTTTCCATGTCATCCCAATTTTTAACAATACCATTTTCAACTGGATATGTGATCTCAAGATTCGACCGTACGGCTGCAGCCTCATCGCCGAACATGATATCCTGCAGTACGCAATCACTTATCCTTAGCTTCGTATTGGACACTAAATGGATAATTTTTCAGTCGTACTTTGAGCAAAATGTCCGTCTGCACTGCTTCCTCTGCGCGCAGCACGGGTCGTCCAACAAGGGACGGAAAAATGGCTTTGGGAAAATTCTCAGCGGCAAAACCTGCCTTGACAAACTGTGTTTTATGGAGCATCAGATTCAAAGGAGTAAGTTAAATTACTGTGCTGTATTGCAATTAATTTGATCAACGCACCCCCGTGCCATTATCGCACACCACGATTTTGTTAGCGGCCACCATCGCAACGTTCTTTACGTCCAAAGTCGCGAGCTGGCAATCTGACTCGGAACGTGCCGACAACCCCCCGTAATCGGTACAGTGTACCGTTACATAGACATGAATCGTACTCTTAAGATATCCTGATAGTGCTTAAACTTGTTTACAATAGGTTACTTAATAACATTATGGGGGTCTTTCCCTATAATACACAGCATAATGCTCTATCTCGTACCACTAAGTGGTGGCAGATCGAATCGTATAGCGCGGCGGTGGACGCAGTGCCGCTGCCCGCACGGCAATCATCTCTTCTGATACTAAAGATGGTGATTGAGGAGTGAGATAGTGGGAGGCTTGACGCATGCGATGCGCTGTCTTGCAGTCCAGCCCACAGTACTGATCAAAGCGACTGAGACCACGTTGAAATCCTTTAGAACAGTTGGTACACCAGCGCTGCTCTTTGCTGGGCTCATTGCTTCCGACGAGCATCAATGCGCTAGTAGATAAAGCCTTAGGACGATCGCAGGGCATGCAATCACTAAACTTGGCCAAGTGGTCAAAGTGCGTCGTGTCGTCGTTTTGGTGGATAATATCATAAATATTGCGCTTGCTTCTACGCGGTATCGCTTCGTCTTCATCACACATTATTGTGTCTCGAAGATCGCGCTGGAAAATGCCACGCAATTTACCGCCCAGATAGCTCAACGACATGAGTTTACGCAAACGACTTCCGTCATCCATCGACTTGCTAGTGCGTGCTTGCATGTTGAGGTTGAGATGAAAAGGGTGAAAGCTGCTGTGGCGATCGTTAGCCATTGGATCCTTCTTGGTGTCCAAATGCAGCAGTTTCAACGCTTCACGACGTACGGAGCTCTTGATAAACGTACGCGAAAGCTCCCAAATTGACAACTGAGCCATTTATCCGCGTGCTTTATAGGGAGAAAGGGCGTGGAAGAGAGATACTGTATGTAGAGTATTACGAAAGCTTTTTAAATCATATTGCATTTTGTAATTTTGTTTTAGTTTACAATATCTCAAATAATACCATGCAAAAACCTCTTATTTCGAGGTCAGCTGAGGGGCACCAACTGGTACCTTAATTATCTAATCTGATGAGCAATATGCTGGCGTGCGAGGAAGGAGATGCTTTGTCAAAGCAATGCGACGATAACGTTTTTCCGAGGGTTTTGTGCATTTTCACACAAAGTGAATTTCATATTCTTTTTTGTTGTTTTTTATCAAAAATCTGAGCTAATACTATGATTTTATCACGTATATTCATGCAGAGACGTCTTAACATTTACTGGATTATATATAGACTAATCTTTATTCGATTATTTAATAACTACAATTACGTCTATAACTGAGAGCATGTGCAATGCATTACTATCACAGCCGTTTTGTCTATACGGTATATTTTTCAGAATCATACACATCCCTATAATCATTTTGGTGCGATGCTTCTTCTTAGAAAGAAGAAAAGATTTTCAATAGTTAGCCGCGTTTCAACTGATTGGCTGTTGGCGCATCTGGTCGCTGCATCTTTTCCTTTCTACACGAAGCTACCTCTACGCGACAAATCAGGATAAACTGCTGATACTTTTGACCGCTGCAATTTGATGATTACCAAAAAAGAGCACTTCAGCCGTTTACAAAAAGACCATTAAATGGTCTTTTTGTAAACGGCTGAAGTGTAAAAAATTTTTATGTCTCATAAGGCTTAGCAAGTGAAATTAGCTCGTTGTCTATGCTTCACAACTTTGAAATCATAACGTTATTAAATTCCGCCTAGATTGCTAACTAATCAATCAGCCATTTTGAACTTTGCTTCAATAAATGCCCGAACAAGTCAAGCGCTAAGTGGTGAGGCGACATGGCGAATTAGTTTGGATTGAAACTGACGCACGATGAGCAGTAGTTGTCTCAATGCACCTGCCTATTCTCCTTGAAGTGATTATATATGTCACAATCTTTGAATTTATCTACGATTTGTGTTGCTAAAGAACTTTAAATCTATCGCTCGAGATGTTCTTAAAATATTTCAAAAGGTGTTTAAGAGCCGTTTATTTTCTGTGACTTATTCTAGTACTGCCGTCTCATGCATGCATCATTAACAAGATTCGAGCTAAATCGACGCGAGAGCAAAATGCTACAAGTCAATCGGAAATAACTACCACTTTGCAACTTGAAGCCAACTCTATTTCGTCTACATCGCAGTCAAATCGGTCACGCCAGGATCTTTCAACTATAGTGTGTTGTCTACTGACTTTTCTTTTCCCACTCGTCCATACGTTGCTTTAGCTCGCGCGCGTGCATACGGCGACCAATGAACTTTAACACTTCGTCAATGAGAATAACTGGCATTGAAAACGCCAGCACTACAAGCCACTCCTTCATGTCGAGTGGGATTACACTAAATGTGTTCGCAAGTACGTCCACGTAAAGAATCACAAAGTGCATGGCAAACGATACAAACATGGCGATAATCAAGTACGGATTTGCCCACGGTGGCATCGTGATTAGACTTCCGTCTTCTGAGAGCGCATTTAAAGCATTGAACATCTCAATTGCCACTAATACTGACAAAGACAGCGTCGATGCTGTCTTCTTACCGTCAGTGAAGTACTGGCAAGGGTCCGACGAAAAGTCCATGCCGTCAAAATTGTTAACCGTGAAATTCTCCCATTCGTGACACTTCGTCCAATGTGTCAACTGGTCAAACGTGATAAGCGTGTGGCCATCTCCTGACGCTTCGTAGTACATGTACCAGTACGCGAACACACCAACACAAGCAAAGCCTACGTAGATGCCGACAATCATGTATCGCAAAAATACCCAGCCCGTAATTAAGGCATCATCACTACGACGAGGTGGTTTTTTCATGATATCAGCGTCAGGTGGATTAAAGCCCAAAGCCGTAGCCGGAGGGCCATCTGTCACAAGGTTCACCCACAAAAGCTGCACAGGGACTAAACCTTCCGGTAGTCCGAAAGCTGCCGTTAAGAAAATTGCAGCTACTTCACCAATGTTCGACGAAATCAAGTAGCGAATAAACGCTTGCATATTGTTGTAAATGGCACGTCCTTCTTCAACAGCAGCGACGATTGTTGCGAAATTATCATCGGCAAGTACCATGTCTGACGCCTCTTTGGCAACCTCAGTACCGGTAATTCCCATGGCAATACCAATATCAGCCTGTTTCAAAGCAGGCGCATCATTCACACCATCACCAGTCATTGCCGTCACTTCGCCAAGCTGCTTCAGCAACTTAACCAATTGCTGTTTGTGCTTGGGTTCCGTGCGAGAAAAGACCAAACCGTGAGCAGCTGACAAATATGCGTTACGCTTCTCTAGAGGCAAAGCAAAAAACTCAGCACCTGTAAACGATCGTGTCGACAAGTCATCACCATCCTTAAATATGCCAATCTTGTGACAAATACTTTCCGCTGTTAGTTTGTTGTCTCCTGTGATGCAGATCACACGAATGCCAGCAGTGTGGCACATTCCAATCATCGGGCGAACCTCAGGACGAGGAGGGTCAAGCATGCTTACTAGTCCAATAAACGTTAAGCCTGACTCAATCGCGGCAAAATTCTCTGTACGTTCCAGCTTCTTGTGTGCCGGATGATGCCGATCTCCGTCGTACGATCCCAACTCTCCAACGTCTTCCTTCTTTGCCAAAGCAAGACAACGTAATGACTTGCGCGCCAAACTCGATACTTGAGTTATCAAGACCTGACGAACAGCATCTGTCAACGGCTTGACCGTGCCATCGCCCAGCTCCACGTGGGTGCAACGATCAATTAAACCTTCAGGAGCGCCTTTAACAAGTAGCACGTTTTGCTGTGACGTTGTCGACCTAGTTGCGCGTTGCGACAACACATTGGACTTGGCACAAAGCACCGACATTGACTTACGATCCCGCGAAAACTCTAGCACGGCCAATTTTTTGTTCTGTTCGGCCCAAAAATTGTTGCAAAACTGAGCTGCTTTAGCCGGATCTGTCGCACGTAGCGATTCCATTTCTGCCTGTTTCGCTTTTTCATGCGGGAAACCAATTTTTTCGACCAGCACTTTGAGTGCCGCTTCAGTTGGCTCACCAATCCTGACGTACTTGCCATCGCGATATTCGATAGCAGACTCGTTACAAAGCGAACAAACCGTCGCAAGGGACATCACAGCCTTATATTGACCTAGTGGTGCTCCTTCAATCTTGCCCACTGGAGCATACGTATGTCCTTCCACATCGTACGTCACAAGCTCCGTCTCAGTCATACCAAGGTGCGAAAAAGTCACACATGACATTTCATTAGTCGTCAATGTGCCTGTTTTATCTGAACATATTACAGTCGTACATCCCAAAGTCTCCACAGAGGGCAATTTGCGCACAATCGCATTTTTTTTCGCCATTTTCCGAGTTCCAAGTGCCAAACATGTCGTAATGACAGCTGGAAGACCCTCGGGAATAGCAGCGACAGCCAATGCAACTGCAATTTTAAAGTAATAAATACATCCTTTGAGAACCGAACCGTGCATTGGGTCAAAAAAGTTTTTGTAGTTGATTATCCATACGACAATGCAAACGACAGCAATAACTTTGGACAATAATTCACCAAATTCATCAAGTTTTTTGGTCAAGGGTGTGTCTTCTTCGTCTTTTGAAGCGTCTTGAACTGATTGCTGGATCTTACCAATTTCCGTCTTCATACCAATTTCCGTTACAACGCCCGATCCTAATCCATTCACGACGACTGTAGCAGCAAAGAGCATATTTGTCTTAGCCTGTATGATGTTCTCAGTGCCTGGAGGCAATGCATCGATGCCCTTATTTACGGACGTAGACTCTCCCGTCATTTGGGCCTGTTCCACACGAATAGCTGTTGTTTTCATAGAAAGTAGACGTAAATCTGCAGGTACTTTGTCACCCACACGGATCTCAACTACATCACCAGGTACGAGCTCCCGCGCAGGTATCGTAACCATCTCTCCGTTACGCATAACACGTGCATTCTCGGATTGTAAATCTTTTAAAGCTTCCAGTGCAGCCTCAGCATTCGACTCCTGCCACACTCCAACAATAGCATTGAGTACAAGAATCACAAGAATTACAAGCGGCTCTACAAAAGCACCAATGCCTTCCTCGCCTCCATCTTCAAATACAGCGAGTACAAATGATACAATGGCAGCACCAAGAAGAATTTTCACTAATGCATCGTCAAACTGTTCCAGCACAAGCTTCCAAAGAGGCGTGCCCTCTTCCTTATCCAGCTCGTTATAACCATGCACAGCTCTACGTTTTTCTACTTCATCAGTGCTCAGACCCTTCTCTTCCGTTACATTCAAGTGCTTAAGCACGGCTTCAGGCGTTTCAAGCTCACAACGAAAGCCGTCGTCCGCCATATCTTCCTAGCGATTTCCCGTCAAACTTTTTTTCTCCTACTGGTGTGCCGCGTGGCAAAGCAAAAGATCGGTCGTAGCACCTGTATAAAGAGATGATCGGATTGTAAGGGATTTAAAGAAAATAGAAAAAAACACATACACAATTGCATCGGAATTATAACTCGCCATCTTTATGATTGTATCAACACTATTTGATGTGAACAATTGCGTCGTAACTCCTCTAGCTGTCATCATTGTAACTACAATCTCTGAGGTTTTAAATGCATAAGCTTATTTGTGAGCTTTGTGAGTTGGTCGGCAAGATAGTGGTAAGACATGAGTGTTGATATATGGTCGGGATAACCAAGTGCGTCGAAACGAAGAGTGAGCAGCACTCTTGTTACAATACAAGACCGTGTGAGTATCAGTGCTTCATGATTTTAGTGAAATGTCGACCAACTTTTTATTATAAAAGATTACAAATTATGGGTTTGTTCGATGCTATCGCAAGCGCACACTCACCCCAAAATTGTGCTAAAAAACTCAGTAAGTTTCTGGGAAAACATAACGATTTTTAAATAAAATACTATATTATAAACTGTAGTAACTATAATAATAATTACAACACAATAATAACTAGATACTAAAGTACTCTTTATTGACTTGCTCAACTGGTTTAAGCTACATTTCCTGTTGAGCAGCTTGTGATGAAAGGTGACTCGGGGCGTCGGCAAAGTAGGTTTGCAAGATAAAAGCGCGTGAAAGAAGAGGCTCAATCTCGTTTTCCACCCAATCTTTTGTCGGAAGACTTTGCAAAAAGAGAACTAGGTCTTGAAATTCCAACGTTTTGAGTTTGTCTCCAAATGTCATCAGAATGGCAGCGCAAACGTATACATGAAAGCTCTCAAAGCCCGAGTCTTCACAAAGATAAGTATCCCAGATACGGACGATCCCATCCAATGGGAGCTCGCGCATCAATAAACAATTCATCCAGCGAAACGCAAACTGCACAAATTGGACATTCTCCCGTTCCACAATATGCTCAAAAAGATCTGAATCGCATCTGTGAACAAGTTCCTCCATACGCTGCACCATACGCTGAAGACCCGGTTGAGCAAATGTGTAGTGATCTTGAATGTCATCAAGAAGTTTTGTTAAGCACCAATAACTGTCTGCTTCTATAATTTGTAAAGTTTCATCCGATACGCTAGACAAATCACACATTTGTGGATCATCTGTGCATCAACACAAAAAGCAATTTCGGTAATAAGCTACAGCACATTAGCTCTTATGTATAGCTTGCAAAAAGGTGCACTTACCGATGAAAGCGGAAAGAAAAACAACCAGAAACGGCGTCATGAGGTCATTGATACCCTGCACGTAGCCACTCGCAGGGTGTCGGATTGCCCAAATGTAGAGAACGCGCTCCATCGACTACATCACGCGCCGCAATCGAACGGTTTCCGTCAATCCAATTCAAAAACGTACGAGTATCATATAATATCGCTTACTTGATGTATGCGCTCATTTTGGAAAAGTCGTACATCAGCATTAGTGCGTGGTATATCAACAAGAATTTGCCGCAAGGTCGTTTGCTCTCGTGTTCCCCGATCCGTATCTGGGATATAATAATATTGTTGGAGCAGTTCAACGTATTCTTGACGCTTTCGCTTCAACATTGCCTCGCGTCGATCTTTTTTAGACGGCATATAGCCCTACATCACGTACGATTAACATGTCCGTCTTCATATTCAGTGAACTTTGCTTAAAATACAACCCACATACCAATAATAGTCGCCAGACTGTTGGTCGATAATTAGTAGGAATGCCACCCCAGCTGAGCTTGCGAAGTTGGTCTATATCGACGACTTCCTTTGCCAATAATCGCTCAAATTGCGTGTAGCGTAAATTCCCCGATGCGTTGCGTGACGGTATACCAGAAGTGACTGCGGTCTCCTCTCGATGTGAAATCTCATCCGTCTCTTGTTCAATCTCATCTTCATGCAAGGAGTGATGATTCCGATTGTGAAGGTTTAGTGATTTAATAGTCATGTCTTCACTATCGCTACCCACTGACACACTTCGTATGCGCGGAGAGACCGAGTCGAGAGAGGATGATAGTATCCTGTCGTAAAAAAAACGAGACACTTAAAAGCTTTCATTTGCTTGTGCTCGCACCACTTATATACGCACCTAGAAGGTGCTGGTGACGGCGTCGCCCACACTGGCGGTAATTGGCCTGTAACTACTTCCTTCACAGACCCCGATAATACTTGTGGTTTTTGCTGTGCCGCTGTTTTGCTTTTTCCTCGCGAGAAAAAACTCGATTGTGCTGTATTGTTAAGATTTATAGCTCCGGCACGTTCCTTTTTCTTCTGAGCAAATTTATGCAATACAGTTTTAAAAGGATTTGATGTCGTTTCTTGTGGAGGAGACTGACGTCACGATAACGAAATACAAGGATTAATCATCACACCACAGCACTAGTAGCTACCAGACGCACCATATCGTCACTAGATAAACTGTTTGTTGAAGCTTCCATCGCTCAGAGCTGTAGCTGCTGATATCTCGGTGCTCAACTGCATCACAAGTTTTAACAAGCATACGTAAATAAGTAGATTTAAGACGGGAGGTAAAGACAACAACAGCTTCATCCACGCGTCAAGACATGTACGTACACGAGTGCGACCAGGTTCCACGCACGGCCGACCGTTTGATGTAAGAAGCTGGCAGGTGTGGTGTGGTGGACACCAATAGGCGCTTATGATATTTTTGTAAATACACTTTGGTTCGAATATTTAGTTTTAGATTTCTTCGCTCTTCTTCTTGCGTTCAATAAGCTAAATGACGCAACCGTACTAGCGCAGTCTTCAATCCCACGCAAGGATATAATGCTTGATTTAGTAGTTAGCTGTGTATTCCCCTTAGTGCTACCGATCTAATAGATGGTTTCGGTAAGAACGAATGCACATAAATGATACACCACTAACTACATTCAGTACCTCTTGGCACTGGCCAAGCTTTGACTTTCTTTGGATCCATCCTTGCCCACAAAGCAACCGAGAACGAGGAAATAGGTGGAGAAGATATAAACTTTTTCGGTTTAGCATAGATTTTACTCTCTCATATGACTTGAAAGACCTGACGAAGTTGATCAAGATGAACGTCGATATCAGACTATTCAACAGCTTTCTCACTATAAACGAATGCATCGACTAAACAGCTCAGTGCAAATACACTAAAACGGAAGAAGAAGGTTTGTGATCATTCTGTTAAAAGTTGCGGGAGCGAGCTTCGAACCTTGTACCAACCATTCCCACAGCATATCACTGAGAACGTGAAACAACTGATACAATGGCTGGGCTTGGCAAACTATTTGCACAAATACACGCGCAACAATGCAGCGTTTGTACAGCCCCTAAAGGCTGTTTTAAAAAATAATGTTGAGTGAAAATGGTCAGAAGATCAGCAGGCGATATTTGACGACGTGGTGAAGGCTCCTTCTTTGCAATTGCAAATAACGACAATCCTTTTCATGTGGACTGCAGCGCAAGTGACTATACGATGTGTTTTGCAACGATGCAACAGGCTGATGAGGGCCGAGAGCCAGTTGTATTGTATCGGCCATGACGATTCCGGCCCGCGGAACGGAAGTATCCAGTTATGACAAAGAGCTTCTGAAGATAAGTTTCGTGTATTCTTGCTCGGAGGGGATCGCTTTGCAATTTACACGAAATATTCCTCGCTGTGTACGGTGGTACACTCCTCATTTATTACAGTGAATGGCTCGATGAGCTCTACAACTTTGCTCTACACTATAAGGAAGGCATGACAAACTAGTAGAATATCAGCGCTTCTGCAGAGTTCGGTGGCGCGGCTACCCATCGATTCCCCCGACATGGTCAGCAGCAACGAATTATGCTTGTAGTGATGCAATAGGCAATATTATGACAACCAGAGCTGGGTCTTGCTCCGATATTATTTGATTTCTGCTCGCGCCGACTCGGCGAAATAGACGCTTTATCTTCTTCTCATTCTCAAGGCGAGCAAACGTCCGCCAAGAGTCCAGCTTAGATGCAATGGTCTGGTTCGGAACATCTTGATTGTTAATCCGACGCCGACAAAAGAAACATTTCATGCAGAGTTTCTTGTTTTTATATCGGTTGATGATCAAAGTCAGCGATTTCTGAAACCTTTCTTAACCGCTTTGGCGAGGAATGTTCTCAAGTTGGCTTGTTCATTCAATCGCTTCGCTGGATCGAAAAGGGAGCAGCTACACAAGGTAGGCGCAAGAATTAAATAGTTTTGACTATTACAAGGAGATGATGTAATGAGCTGCATTTAGCCATTACAAAATGTACAATTGTTACAATTGTGTACCTTTTGTATGGATTGAGAGAATTCATAACAAAGGTGTTAAAGTATGGTATCCCCACTTTCATATGTGACATCTTCTATGAGCTCACAAACATTCTGTGTGATACATCAGGCGGAGGTTTAACCTCAGTACACCCTTGATTATATATATTAGATTTGTAGGATTCCCTTAACCTCCTTGAGCTTTGCACAGGAGAAGGCGTCAATCACGTCACACTTACCTCGCGGTAAGGGGTACTGCCACGTGACGCAATATTTGTTCCGGTAATTAAGTAAATTTCTTGACACACAATTAAACAAAGGATCACGCGCGCAGTAGATTTCTCGTCACCAAATAGTTATAAAATATCAACAAATAATAGAAAGTTCGTATGATCCTTTAAGATTGTCACCTCGCGCATAGCGCTCTGCAACCGTCATAAATGACAGATTTTATATGGTGGATATGGTCTTAGCTCTTTGATGGGTACCAATCGCATCATTTCAATCGCCACTGTCTTGCAATTTCAGGTACATTCCCGATGTTGAATTCTCACAGCTTCGATAGAGCTTTCGTCGGAGGTAGTGGGAAGATCCTTACAACCCCTAGGACTACACCGATCAATCTATTAGCGAATAAAATCGCCATTTGGCTCGTAGTACCCTGGCCACGCCATGCTTAGAATCAGATCATATGTCGAATCGAGGTACAAAGTGTAACGGTATCGAAGTCTTTTAACATCACCTGACGGTTCTACAGAACCTTCGATCTTTTTACTGGTTTAACCGTCACAGTACACACGGTAATGGCATATGATATTCCTCCGCGTAATTTCAACTGTTTGCGGCAGTCGTATATCGTACGTACTTGCACGATACCCTGGAACTATCAGAATAACCACGGGTTCAAACTGCTCCGGACATTAAGAGGAATTCTCAACAACCGTGGGATTATGAGCTCCACCTCTTTTATAAAGTTCGCTCCTTGTAGGGCTTTGTTTCATTTATCACGACCTTAACAAGATGCACTTGAACCCAATTTACTCAATAGGCGCCCGGTGGCTACTGGAATCGCGAGAGAATGTGACCCCGAGGAGCGAATACTTTGTACAGCCGCAATTGAAAAGTTTGATCACGTGTAGCTGCTCAGAAGTCAAAGATTTATATTTTCCTTTTGAGCATCGCTGGTTCCATTGTCATTGGCGCGTCCGAAGAGTTTGCATCCTCAGCATTCAAGGCCAATTCCATGTTCTATTTTCAATTCCCCCCCATCCGGAAAGAAATATAGTTCTTAAGGCCAAATGCTGAATATCAGCGGTCTCGTGGTTTTGAGCATATCTTTTACTACCGGCGCCCGGCTGTGGCGCTACTGAACGTGTCCCAGTAGCGTATTTTCAAAGCTCGTAAGCAGTTGCAGGCCAACGATTCGTCTTTAGCACTTTGGCCTCCTGTTTCTTATACCACTAGGTCCAAGAGTGACGACGACTGTTAAGCTGGTCGTATTATCCTAGGTTCAGGTTTTTAAATATTTCAAGCTCAAACCTCGCATCGGGTTCTGTCTTTACATGACTCTGTCGTGAAATTGACGACAAGCAATGCAAAACGCAACGAAGCGACAAGCATTGTACGCAGAAAAAGCGTTTACCCTCAGAGTCCGCGTTGACAAATGAATTCTACCAGGGGCGAAACCGAGAACGACTCCGACAACTATCGCCGTTACTTTTTGCTACGTTTCGTAAAGTACCTAATTTAAATCAATTAGATCGAGACTACTAATAGATCCATTTTATTATTACGCACAGTTAATTTGTCCTTCGTTTATAACGTGCGACTCGCAGCTCACGAGTTTACCTTGAATAAAATACTTCAGATTCTGAACTGAAACTCGGGTCGCTATCCGGGACAGCTGTCACAGGGTAGCCGGGTTGGTTCAGAACTTTGCCTAATAGTCGTTATTGGAGCTCATCCACGACGGTGTCCTACTGTCTGCACTTTGTCGGAATTGGGTAGCTGTCTCATGATGCCAAAACATGCCGCAGGAAATTATATCTTTAGACATATTTCACACGAGCGTACATAGCTCACTGCTCTTTTCGTCTGATGAATTTGTAAAAGAAGCATCAAGTGTCTCACGTATCTTGTGTTTCTTCAAGTCGCATCATAATGCTTGTTGGCACATGTGTGACTAAAATTATGATCTACCTGAGCAGCGTGAAAGCGCATTTACTCAACCAGTCTGAATAACTCGAATGTATATTTGATAAGGAACAATACTATTCCTGCATTCTTGAATAGATTTGTGGCGATGATGTCGCCATATTTAATGGCCGCATGATACATGTGGTCATGTACGGCTTCCAGCTGAATTGGTTATCCTGAACTTGACAAGAGCATACTTCAAGACAAAATTAGTTTTTTAAGATAATAGCTCTCCTTTGCAAGCTAACGGTGATCAAACGTGACAACGCGCACAATGAAATGTAAACTCACATTTTATATAAAGCAAAGGGACTGAAAATGATTTGTTGGATCTAAAAGATCCAGCCTCAAAGCACATAAGGCTTTTCAATTACAGCCTGGAAAGTTGCTTCAAAAATTATGCTCCACCACCACTCGTGCATCCTTTCTAAAGAGATTGGTGAGTGGCCCCATGTCAATTTAGTTGTTTCAAAGCCCAGCTAGTTTTCCAAATGCTTCTGTGGTAGCGGCAACAGAAAATCGACTATTTCCATGATTTGTAGTGTCTACCGGAACACCATGCTTTCCTGTGAAGCATTTCAAATTAGGAGCCCGCCAGATTCAAGAAAGCAGATGAATACAACTTTATCACATACATTTACGTGCTCTGCACAACAATTAAGAATATATACGTAAAAGCAGTTCTGCGTAGGACGAAATATCATTATAGTGATGAATGCTGTGGGTGCATTAAACAGCATAAGCAACAGAATCAGGCACTTCTACATCATGATGTTTTGGCGGTTTTAGGGCAATCACCTTGCAATTCGTAGTACGCACCGACAATGCCAGAAATGCTGTACACGGCGCCCATGTCATAGCACATTTTTTCAAATTGTTGTTTACTCCTGAAGCATACTATTATATGCTGGTCGGAATAACAGTTTGCCACTTGCAGTAAGTCACACAGACCGGCGCCGAGTGGTAGTATCATTTATCTCCAGTTAAATCTGCCTTGTAGATCACACAGAAGGAGTGTCCATTTTTTCTCTTGAAGACAATTACTAGCGTGTTAAGTAGTATTTGATTTTGGGAGTCAGGCCAATCGCAAGGCAAACATGCCAATCTTGGGGTCTAGAAGCGCTTAAATGCATGTGACTTGATATCGTAGCTGCTAACACCGTGACGAACATCTAAGTGCAATTACCGTTGTCGTCGCGGCCAACCGATGCGTCTGACTTAATTATAAATGCCGTAGCACGTATGTAAGCGCTCAAAATGTTTGTGACTTGGTGCTGCATCTTAGGACTCGTAAGGATAGCCGAGCCGCACGTCGCCTAACGATCAAGAGATTAGACTCAGCTATGCCAAATGGTGAGATTATATTCTACTTTGATGCTATCAGTATTGACTCCATGTTTTGAGCATCTTGTAGATTCTGTGTGCATGTTTCAGGGAAAAATCTTTCCACGGGCTTCTACCTAGGTAAGAACAGAATTTCAATACCACACCGCAATTACTTCTGCAATATGTGAGGAGAGAATTTGCATCTTTGATTATTTGCACAGTTCATACGTCACTTAGTATTGCAGACACAGCGTACGTACATATCCTGACAAGAATATGTCGCTTTTAAAAAAGCGAGCCAGGTTATCTACTCGCGACTTACAGTAGCCTGAATTTGGCATGGAGACCCCGTGCAACGGGGTGACACGTACCTTGGTAACAGGGGTGTGTTTCACACGAGATGGGTATGGTGTGACGTCACTCAAACAAAAATACGGTATGTAGCTGGGTAGTTAGTAGTTATACATGTATTTAGATTTTCCTATATGCTGCCCTTGTCGTTTGATCCTACTTCAAGGCTAGTGACAGAATATGATAAAATGTTTCTAATGATTCCATGTACTGTCACTGCTTCGTATCTGAGCCTCAAAAGGCTCAAGCCTTTTAGCTAAGGACTGCCTTAATCGCTACGAAGAAATTGATCAGTGGCACCATGGTTATTGTTTTACAATTGATCCTTAGCTAGCAGCGAGACAATGAACATATAACCTGATATTGTAAATTTAAGCCTAAGGCCCAAAAGCATTTACGCGATCAGAGTTTAAAATGTCGAGTTTTGATATTTAATCTCACGCATAGCCTTGTCGCGAAACGCACACATATTGTCTCCGCGCGTGGCATATACTCAACTTTCTTGCAAATACCTTGCTGATTTTAACAGCGGTTTGTGTCTGTATAGATGTAAAATGTTCTGATATCAGGCCTTTCATGGTCTTCTTTATGGCCAAGATGTCCGGGCTATAACCACTGCTTCTCTTGGAGAGTACCGCTTCCTTAAAGGCTTGGTTCCACTACTGCAGACACCAAGGCGCCAATGTGCAGAGAAGAATGATTTGTTTCATTCGCAATTGTTGGCTGAGATATAATGCATCTGCTAAGCTCACAGAGACCCCGTCTTCAGTACATTTACCGACCTTAACAAATGGAGCTCGTGTTTTATATTTTATGCGCTGCTTATTGCGTTCGTAAAAGACCCTGATGCGTATAGAGTCTTTTCGTGCAAATTAAATCTGCAAAGAAGCCTCCGTGACTACGGAAAATCAAAAAATGGTTAGCCAGTATCACGGTCATATGAGCTTGCAACTCTTGGACATTATATAGCAAGATTCTATCTCTTTGGTGGATAGACACGAAGTTAGGCCGCACTCAGTCAGGTCAATTAGGCCATGCAAAAACTCGCGGCATATGTTGGGTGAGAGCATTCCAGGTTGGATATACCATCATTGACGACGGTGCTCATTCTCGCTAGTTTAAAGATGCAAGCGCGACGCTTATCGCTCTCATGGTCGTGTAATTTATCGTGTCAAAAGGATGAGACATTGCCATTTTTGCATCGAAAGTCTTTCACACTTAACAGAAGCGATATTGTACTCAATAACTTTGTAGATGTCAATTGCTTTTATCGACGTTGTATTCACCAGCGCGTTCTCAAGAATGCTAAATAGTTTGTAAAGATAGTCTTGTTGATTCGAAATGGAATAGGTGCTCTATCCTTGTAGAGGAGTCATTTTTTTCATGCTTCGATGCATAATTGACGACAAGTGTTAATAAGTTCAATGGCTTCGCTGTGACACCTCGCACAAAGAAACCTTTACTCGTGGAGTCCGCACACAAAAGCGCACAGATGGTGGGCTCATATGCATAATCTAGAATACGAGGCCAGGATCTTCTCATAGTACAAAGCAATATTTATTACTTTAATTAATGGGTGATAGAACAAAATAAATTGTATCAGTTCAAGATAAATATATGATGTATACAAAATTCTATCCATGATTACAATCTCCTGCATGCTCGAGCACTTTATAAATCCAACTCGTCTATCTTTTTTAGATTTCTTTTAAAAAATTTATCGATTGTTAAGCTGCTGAACTTAGTAATAGTCTTCGATCAAGAAAGTGATTATTACCCGCAGTGTCTTCAAAAGCTAATAGTTAGAAAAATCTCGGATTGTGTACGTACACCGTATTACATCGATAAACATCATCATTACTCTTGGACTGCATCAACGGCTATATATGTTACCAAATTCATAGTCTTTTGTTTACAACTTTAAACTTTAACCGGAAGACAATCTATTGCAGTCTACAGGAACTCCATATCAGTCGTGTCGTCCAAGGATTTTGCTGCTGAAAACGTCTGCGTCTGCTTTATTTTACTTTGTAGCACTGCATTTGATGGCTGCAATAGGCTCGAGCAGCTCATCTTGCGAAATACTGTCAACCTTCTGTCAAAATGAGCGAGATGATGAGTGGTTGTGAAGGAATCATGCAGTAAAAGAGAAACTGCACAAGGTCATCTTTGATGCGAGCGCTCTTGTGATTGCAGAGTAAAGTGTTTGTTAAGATTAGTCAACAGTCGATGCAGCAGCTAGCGTAAAACATACTTTTACCAACCTTATTCGAGAATTAACCTTCGTATGCTGAGACCTGGAGCAGGACAGCCGAACATTTTGCACAGAGAAAGCTTCGACGCAGAGAGTCCGCGCTAAATTTGCATAGAGGTTGGGTTTGTGCGCTCCGCATTGCAGCAGTGCCAACAATTCCTACCGGCATTTTTGAATTTAGTTGCCCTGCTATGACAAGTGCGACATACATAGCAATCCGTATTCTTGGATGAATACTTCACTAATTTCAATTATAAAGCTATCTAGATGAGCAGCTCACATTTTCTCCTTCACGAAGTCGCGGCATCCTCATAGGTACGGACAAATGTGTACTCATAGGTTATGCACAACAGGGTATTGAGCACAATCGCCGATGTGGTTACTATTGTATAAAAGTCCCATTTATACCCTTTCCCATGAAAATTGTTTAATTCACTCGGGTTCACTTTTTATTCTGTCTTTTCAAAACATTAAAGAGTGAACACTCATCTCCTTGATACACTACAGATCGGTCATCGAAATTTAAAAAGGTTCGTTCACACTTGCGTTTGCCAAGCTTGCGACGCTTCGGGACCCTAATATTTCTCTTTAAAGAATATAATCGAGGGTGATCCACGTAATTAGCAACAATGACGCCAAAGCAATCTAGCCGAAATAAAACGCTAAGAGACCACAGGAGCTCGAAAATGTATTCTATGCACCTTCATTGTAATAGCCCTGATGTACGTGCCAGCCCACAAAACGCTTCACGCGATAAGTCGTCCAGTTTCACCGAGCAGCACCGGCAGCGAAGAAGCTCCCGTGTCTTGTTATCCCGGGAACTCTTTTACACGGTGACGCGTTGACTTACTCCGAGGGTCTCGTCTCACGGAAGTTTACATGAATCGAATATCTGGAAAACTCGCTAATTTTTCGCACTGCTTGGCTTATAGAACTCAAAGTGGCTCAGAAATGAGTTCGAGGCACACTTTTCGGTCCACAACAGAGCGCTTCGCATCCGACTGGCTCCTATGAGCAAGATCGTGCCATGACTTCAGTAGGCCCATGTAGAGCACGGAAATTGCTCGCATTCTCTTTAGGATGTTCAGATACGCTGCTGCGTTTACAACGAAGTGCTCTGGTTTGTACAAGTGATACGTAATATGGCTTAAGCAAATCGCCCAGAACATGTTTGCATGCACTTTGGAGTTTAAGATAATTTAATTTATTTTTCAACTACAGCCGTGATCAATCGATGCAGCTTGGTCAGTATTTGTCGTATAGGCTACGGAAATGCATATGCAGGTAAAGTTGTAGTGTTCAATAAAAACCTTTTTTCATCAATATATTCTTGTGAGCTCTGTCTGCTTGTGTTGCTCGTATATGGTGATATTTTACCATAACGACGTGCGCTCGGAGCTAGCACGATTAATCCACTGAACGAATTTAAACTATAGCCAAAGTGATATCAGCAATACGAATCGTATCGGCAGCCACCCATCAAGACCTGAGCCAATTCGCGGTGGTTCTAAAGATAAGCGGATTTGAGCTCAATATTATATAGAATGAGGTCAAGCCTGTAAGTTCATCCGCTGGCTTCACTCATTGTACAAAACCTTGTGAGAGCACTCGCTTCAACACCGCTGCCTCACCTCGAAATTGCTTCAAGCAACATCATTCAACTCGTAATCACCGTGTTTCGTCTGGCTATCTGTCTGCGGACGATCAGCAGTGAGCATGTTCAAATCGATACCTAGCTCTTTAAGCTAAATTTACCAACGCTGTGTCGGAAAGTGTGGATCTCAACTCGATACACTGGCTACCGCTCAAACTTTTGTCGAGAAATAACTTAACTGCGTCTTAACTGGCAGCGGTGTCGCTGCCAGCAGCAAGGTGATACATCTTGCTCAAGCGGCTCTCATAGGGCACACTGCCAGTTTTACAAGACGCTTCGTTTGATTGCTGAGAGTAAAAGTCCGTTCTTATGAAGTACCAACACCCTGTCCAATATGGCAGAGTGCCAGCGTTTGCGGAGAGAAATCAGCCTCCACGTATACATTTTAGGCCACCACTAATTGCATAAAAGTTATTTAAATCATAGTAACGTCTTATGATATACTTCTTGTAATCATTTATCCGTTGCACCTAATAAAAGTAAACAAATGCAATGCAAATATAACCAAAACGTTAAGAAAAAATAACTTCTACGCCGACAGGATCAGCGTTCTGAGTTTGCTTTATTGTCAAACGTGGCTTGCGGTCATACAAAGCAAACATCAAAGCCATTGTAAATAAGACAATGCCGTAGTATTAAAGGGACATATGGAAGGGCCTTCGCGGCCAATTACATGCACAATTACAGTGCAAATTGTGACAGCTTGGTTCAGCCCTCACCAATCTTCTCAGAACGTACATTTATGTACGTGAAAGAGAAATTATGGCTAGAAAAGGAAGCCTCATGCATGCCCCGATTTCGGCTCTTTCAACTCGGACCAGCTATTATATGGCGTCTGTGACCCTTCAGCCTTTGCCGAATGCTGTGCTTTACTCCTAGCAGATGCTTATAAATATGAAGTCGTAACTATGTTTGCGTCTCACCAGTTTAGAGCGTCAGAGAGAAAATACTTAATCTGTGACAGATAAGCTGCTTGTCACATTCAGGGTGCACCTTTCTTGGGACTAAATCGCATGAAACCCATGCAAATCGTCTATCGTTTGGCATAGCGACATTGTCATCAGTCCTCCAAGAGAAAAGTACTTGGCTGATACACTTTGCCTTACGCTTGATCGATTCCTTATGATTTCAATCTGGCCCATAGTAAGGTTGGTATCATTATCATTTTTCGCATCCAAGTAAGGTGAAAGAAATAACGCCTCACGGTGTCAAAGTCCTCAACATTTACGCGAGTACTTTCGACTGGTATCCCCGTCGGAAAAGGCATGGATACCACATACATGTTCGTTATTTTCAATGCCTCGCGTACTGTCTTCTACTTTGAAGTCGCTCGTTTACAATAATTACAGACGCCTAAGAGTAATTTCAGGACCCAGGGCGTTGACGTTAACAGCCGACAAACTTGAGTATAAGTCCCACCTTTCTTGGCTAGGTCTTACTGACAAATATCCCCATGAGGTGGTTTCTATCCTAACAGCCTGCCCTGCGCCTCTTGATCGTTGTTCAGAAGCCAGTCATTATTTGCTATATACCTTCAGCATCTATCAAATGATATCAAACGACTCTCTTGTTCGTATTGACTGCCTAATGCTCACTTTTCACGTAAATTACTCAAGAAACAATCTATAATTTAATGCAGCAAATATATCCTACGATATGTTTAAGTTCATTAACCTTACGTAGCAGCGGTACCAGATTCTGAATTAGGTACAAAAACCGCTTTATATTCACTTGTAGGTTTGGGTTTGAAGGATATATGAAACCGATTTTGAAGGATATATGAAACCGATTTTGAGCCAACTTAGGTCTGTCGCGGACTTTACAATCTGTTCTCTGCCAAATCCTCCTAGTCTTTATGTTCTTGCCGTCATCACAGCGGCTGGTAGCCTGATCCATGCTTGACGGCTTATACAATAACAGACCTCGACCAAGCAAATGTCTTCGTCGGTCTTACCCTTGACGGGTCCGGCGTTTAACTTGCTGAAAAGTACGTTGATGCTGCAGCGGTTCTTAAAAAAAAGCCGAAGAAAAGTCGAAGACGTTTAGTGTTTATATTTATTATTTTTTGCAGCAAAATAAGGCAGAGTTTGCTATCTGTATACACTACAAAGCCTGCGTCACTTAAATTGGAACGTATTAGAGCTCAAATACAAAACTTTTTTGAAGTACATGATGCCGCTGGAGGTTGATAGGAGTCCCGAATGGCTTGTCGCGTCGAGCTCGAAGAAGAGGAAGCAATGCGGATCAATAGTAAATCACTCGACAATCAAAGGCCAGTCTTCTTCACAGTTACATGCTACCGGATCAATCTATAACAAACACGAAAAAGCCGTCAGCTAATTACCATGTACTTTCATATCACGGATCATCTTTCCAACGCATAATAAATATAGAAAATTTACGGAAGGCTTTTCAGCTATGTCGTCCAGATGTGGTTCTCCGCAATTGAAAGAAAGTTGCAGACCCTTTGCTGCAGAACTATTTTGAGATGTTTAGCTCACGATCTTAGCTGTGTCATTGATATCTAAACAGCTCTTGTCTTTCCATTGGTAGAGCAGTAAACAATAAGACTTCCGCTAACAAACTGGCATGGAAATTGTAGCAGCCAAAATATCCTGGGATATTCCTTCAAGGGTACGGGTTGCACTTACTTGTGGAGGACATTTTTCCAAAATCAAACAAGAAAGTGCTGTCGCAGACTATCCAGATGATAGGGATGGAAGTTGTTAGACTCTTTTCTTATTTGTCACAGAAGAAGCTACTGGATACGTCCAATTCAGGTCAACGCATACAAGAACCGTTAGGAATACGACTTCTGCTCAAAATGTTGTTGAAGCAATTTAAGACTGCCCTCCAATACTGGCTGATCGATGGTATTTACTTCAGATGATTGCCCTCAAGGTTTCTAGGTTGGTTATCTCAAGGCCGCGTCTGATAGAAATTTCTCAACTGCTGGGTTTATCCATTCGAAGCTGATAGACGAAAGTGTTAAGCAGCTACTTTTTACTAAAACTAACGCTCCTCGGGTCTGCAGGCTGCTGCAGGCATCTGATTCTGGCTGTTCGGGTGAAGAAGAAAACCAAGATAGTTGAATTGACGGCGTAAGAAGCTATCGGCGATGAATGACGCTCGGCAAGCCGAGCATCGTTCGCCTAACGGACGTCTATTACGCACCAATGCTAGCTCGCAACATATTGTCGTACGGCAAGCTAGAACTCAACGGATACGGACTCGAGTATACAAACGATCGGCGAGCAATTACCGGTGACGTCGAATGACGTCATCGAAAATTGTAAATAAAAAAACTTGAATCTGCGTTTCAGACTCTCATGCTTTGGTTTTTATGGAATTTAGAGACAGCATAAACCCAAAATAATTTAAAAAATTGCCATACAGCTATTTTGAAGTCCTTTTTGGGCACCCGAATCTTTATCGTTTGAGATGGCAGATGACTTCAATAACAATACAATAGCCTTTCTTGACGACAGCACGCATGTCGTGCCTCCTCACGCATGTAAACTTCTGTCCGCTCTACCCGATGCATCACTCAATGCTCTAGCAAGTGCTGCTACCTCCGAATTGACTGGTGCCACCACCACTGAGCACCATGACAACGAAGCGTTTGCAGCCATGTGTGTTCTCATAACATCGGTTGCCAAAAATGGATGCGAGCGGACACCCGCGGAGCAACGGTATGAGTCAATTAAATAATACGGTCGATATCTCGTTTCTTAATTGGTCACGTCAAGTGTATCAGACAGCAGCTTTTTGCTCTTGGAATAGAGGACAATAATCTACAAACGAAGCTCATGTCAGTCTTAGCGACAGTGGTGCCAAGTGTAGAACAGGTGCTGGAACATACTTGTAGGTTTCGGCTCTAATTGTCTTTTTACAGTGAAAGGTTTATAACGGGCTTAAGTGATTCGTAGACTTTGACTTTGCGCATATAGTGGATGTAAATTGGAGACTTGACTATGTCTTGCGCTCAAGTAGTGCAGGGAGTATTCATGAACCGCTATATTTTGTGCAGCTGCGACTCCAGCCACCATGTACTAGTGACTTGAGGTTAAGGACTATGGTCTTTTCATGCACAGTAGAAGAGCTGCGGTCGCTTGTGTATCGAATTCAGGAGGCCACAAACGAGGTGGAAAAGCTTGCGGCTGGAACGACCTCACGGTTTCAATAAATTTGGAGATGGCAAATTACAGTAATGCATATAGAAAGTTTAATAGTCAGATAAGCTACTCGACAAATTCATCGCTAGTTTTTTTATTATGACTTACAGTCAGTGGCGTTCATTATTTTGGCTGATGACAATGTGGCCCTTTTCAAGCAGCTGAATATCCTTTTCAAGTTGAGTGAGCTCTTTCTCAAGCGTCTCTTTTCGTCGCACCTTGCCAAGCGTGTCAAAGACGATATTGTGACAAAGTTTTTGGTACTTAGAATTCACGTGGTCCCATTTTGACTTCAGTGCATCTACAAGTGCCAATCGCTCGTTCTCGTCCATTGCTTCGAGACGTTCGCGACCCTCGTCTTCCTTTAAGGTTTGATTTTGCCGAACAAAATCCTCAATCATCGAGTTTTCTCGCTCGATCTCATTCTTCACCTGACTCAAGTATCGTGGTACTTTGCCATAGTCTTCTTTTTGCGTGTATCTCGGCGGATCGTTTTTGACACGAGCTCGTGATCCCGGAACCGCAAGAATATTTTCCACGGCATTAGCCGTGAGGAAGTTTTTGGCAGATTTCAGACCCATTATAGGCTTGTCATCCTTTTTGACAACCGGAGGACGAGCTGGGCCAGAGTAACTGAACTTGGCCGCTAACAAGCAACAGTGTAATCAGTTGACTACAAATCTTTAATCGAACAGCAGAATGCTCACTCACGTTTCTTTATAACAACTGCAGTGCTACTTCGTTCACCTTTTCGAATAAAAGCTTTTGGGTCTGGTTTTGATTGTAGACGACCAAAGCCACGAGCGCTAGCAGGTTTGTCCATTTGTTCCGAACAGCCGAGGTTTGCACCTTCGAGCTTTGTTTTGCCGCGTAAGCCAAAGGTGCTTCCAGTTGGCTGCACATGAGGATCAAACTTCGAGCGATATCGTTGAGGCTTTTCAGGCTCTTCATGTACCTTGGGAATCAAGTTGTAAATGCACTCGTCACGTTGCATGACTTACGCTCTCTGCGAAAACGTCAATTACAAATTGGTTTCAATCACCCTCTCATCACCAAATCTATAATGAGCATGCAGAACATCTTTATATTTACACCACCTTATTATTATATTTTGACTTCGAAAAGTCCTCAATTACATGCCTTGTGCTCTGGGATTGCGGTGTCAATATTAAGAAAGTCTGGAACTGTGTGTACGTTGTTGTGATCATCTTGCAGTGCTACATCCACTACCACTGCCGTTGGTGTTGACTCGAATTGAACAAGCTCTGGTGCTTTTGCAGGGTCATCTGAGGTGGCATTGAAACTTTCGTTTGCAGTCAAAGCTGGTAGTAGATTCAACCAACTGGTCGATTGATTGGTAATGGTAGTACCTATGTTAATTGGTGTCATTCCGAGCTCCTGAACGAAGATGCCATTGTCCCAAAGATTAACAAACGAATCAAGGAAAAAACCACCGGCTTTTGGACCTCGGAGTGCATCGTCAGACTGGCCTGTGCACTCACCGTCACTTTCACCTGCTGGCTTTGCCCAAATGAAGTGGCTCACAACATCGGATCCCGTGGTGTTTGTCGGAAATTCGCCAATTCCTGCCCATTTTGAGTTGCACCACTCCTTTGAGACTGTAACCTGAATGTTAAACATAATACAAAGTCAGCATCAAGCCACTAGTAAAGCAAATTTGACACAACATACATAGTTGCGGCTGGTGTCGACGATACACTTGTAGTTCCTATCACTTGCGTTGACAAATCGTTCACAGGTAGCAACCATTTCAGCTGTCGAGCGATAATTTGCTGTGTTGAGAGCAATACCCTTGCATATGGAACCTGGGTCGACAGCGCTTACAATTTTGGCAACAGCCGCAGCTTGTTCGTCGTTAGCGAGCGTCCAGTACCCGACATCAAGGTACATTTCAGCATTGATATTCTGCGAAAGAGTATTTATTGCGACACCGAGATTAGCAGCATAATTCTTGTCGTTACCGCATCCAGCATCAGCTAATAAGCCGATAGCATCAGGCTCTAAGATATAAATTACATGTTGATCACCAGTAGCGTCCGCAAGATGCTGCAAAAAGACGCGGTAATCATCAGTATTTGCGTTTGATCCAGCAGTGGAATAGCCACCAGCGCAATCCTTTTGAGGAAGACCGTACACGATAACGGTGGGTGGGCTCGCGTTCTTAGTGTCGCACTTTGGAAGAACCACGGTCTTGGCTAAGGTAGCATAGTCCGCGACTCGATCGGTGTACCATTGAGCGACTTGGTGCTTGGCAACAAGCTGAATTTGATCTTTAAGATTCGGATTCGCAGCAACTGCGTCCAAGTACGAGCTACTCAGGGCTGGTTGACAGGTTATGGGCGACAGTTGGGCAATCGTGACTGACCACGAAACGGAGAGTGAAGCAATCAGCAAAGTCGCAAAATGTGTGACGGTCCCCATGGGTTTGCTGAAATTGAGTGATACCGAGCGGGCAAGTTCAGATCTGACAAATTTGTACCTCTCGGATGAGGATGCAGGCCAGAAGCTCTATATACGGTTGTGGTCGTCCATATCGCTTACCTTGCCAAAATTTTTTGGTCACCTTGGCTATGCCATACTACAAGCTTCTTTGACTTGTGCCCTCTACCAACCTTTTCCACGTTTACATGCTCAACCTGATCAAAATTTGCACTGGCGTACTTTCCGCAAAGTTGAGCTATAATTGCACCACTCGATGAATAAGGACAACTAGCAGATATAAAAATAACAATTCTCTCACCTATAATTGTAATCAAGCTAATTCTTCACTTAAATGCAGTGGGCTTAATGTCCGACGGGGGGACTTGGCACGTACCGTGGACAAGAATTCAGTCTCCTCATGTGACGTTATTTTTTCGCACTCTGCGTCCACAGCTTTTAAATCAATCTTTTTTTCGTCGCGAGTCTGACGTGTAGCTGACATGGTTGCTGCTGGTGAGCTAGCTGCGTCGTCATCAACGCGTGAGTATCGAACATTATTGGTTCTTTTCTTCAAGGCCCCTAAGGCTGGCTTGGCTCTCATACGATTTTTTCCGAGTCTCCGTTGCCACCTTAAGACAAGCACAACTACGACAACCAGTATGAGCGTCAATAATGATGCTATCGCAACTAGGTCTAGCCAAGATAATGACGACGGCAGATATGATGACAGAGTTGATCCCTGGTGTTCGCTGGCGGTAGGGTATGGGTGATTACTTGTGAGATTGTCATCTTTGATCCCAGAAATCACCACAGCTGTGACAATATGCGTATGGAGTAATTCTAGCTTTGTGACATCACGAACGTCGAGGCACACTGGTGAGCGATTACGCATGCTCGCGTCCTCATCTGCGCGTCCAAACAACTCGCACGTCCCGCAACGAGGCAGCGGAAGCGGTGTCCAAGACTGAAAACTAGTTTGATTACTCTGACTGATAGATGTTGGAAAATGCACCGCTAGACGTACAAAGAAAAATGTAGGTTAGCGATTTCCAAACACTTTCACACCATTTTTTCCACTCACCAACACGGAAGAGTTGGCAACTTAGCACGTCCCTGACAACAAGATAGAGTTCCTTAATCTCACTTGCCGGTTGATGAAAATTTATCTTCGCGTAAGGAACCTTTATCGTATGTTTCTCCTCAGTCATGGCTTCAGAGCCGACTGGATTCGCTTTGAGATGTAAATGTATAGGATCACTAGAGCTAGTTCCATTAATAAACACAGAGCCCAGCACTTCGGCAGTCTCAGAGCGCAGCCCAAAGTTTGAAATCACCACATCCACATAAACAAACGATGACGTCGCCCCATCACCGTCAACTGTGCGCAGCTCAACTTTTTTCACATCAAGTAAGTACACGGGTCCGGCCATACGTGCTATGTAAAAATTCGAGTAGTGAAGGGCTGAAGAGATATGAGGAACCTCGTCGATAGGCGGCCAAAAACCAATTTCTCCAGCGATGTCAAACTCAGGACCAACTTCGGGGGATATGGCAAAGATTCCGTGCGCCTGCCACATCCAATCACTCGCATCGCCATTCACTGTGTACAAATTGCTTTCTTTCCATGACTGACCATATGCAAACCCATTATAGTGTGCCATTTCGCGAGCTAATGCCACAAACACGGTATTATTCGGTGCACTGGGTTCGCCTTTCGCCTGGCAAGCAAATGGCAAATTCATATACTTGCCGTACGAGTGATAATTAAGAGCCACGCTAAAGTCGGACGTATTTCGCTCCACAAGGTCGCGTACAGCTTGTGTCTCAGGCTCTGAAAAAGCTTTGGCGCCGCTATAGTCATCTCCGCACGGTTCATTGCTGCTGCCTTTTTTATCCCGCGCGAAACATATATCATAGTTACGATTTAAGTCCACACCAGCATCCTTAGGGCTTTTATCGCAAGTCGGTGCTCCACTTTTTCGCTGTCCAATCTCGCTGTTCTCCCACACACGTCCCATCACATTGTGTGCATATCCATCAGGATTAACGATTAAGATAAACCAGAGCTGACGTGATGTCAGTAACTCTAAAGCTGCAAGGTCTCCATTGCGATAATCCAGAATTAATATATCGATCGTGTATACCATACTCTACGTTTACAAAGGATAATAAGTTAACCAATCGGTTTGAAAGCGCAAATGCTTACGTACCATTGTCGATAGCGGCTGGAACAGAATGGGACAACATACATTTGCAGATTAATTATGCAGCGTAAAAAAATTATGAAAGCAATAACAATTACAGCATTACCTCTCGGGCATGGTGCATTCCTGTGTAAAGCGCTTGTGGGATCTTTCGCTCGTCCTGAGCATCACATGCACCCAAACAGAGTGCACGTAGTGGCCTTCCCTCCACAGATCTTCCAAGGTTCTCGATCCTGCTAATCTGTGGAAATGTTGCCGCTACTTGATCTATAAACGCGTCCACTTCTTCCACGGACAAAGAGCCACTTATCGAGCCAAGACGAGGAGTCAGGGCTATATTTTTTAACAACACAAACACATCAGCAAACTCCAGCCTTTACAGCTCTACCTTTCGTAAGACTTACATTCGTGCGTTCTACAATTGCTTGATGTTGAGTATCGAGGAGCACAGAAGGGATCAGTAGCATTGGCCGAACTCAATTCAATTAATTCAACGCTTAGATTAGCCTCGACATGGAATTCCATGATAACTTTTTTATCGTTTTGTTCCTTATCTTGCGGCATGAACTCCTCTAAAAGCATCGCTCCATTTACAAACCATCGTACCCACTCGTCGTGCCAAACAAACTCCACGTCGAGGAACGCATCTGCCACATTCTGTCACCAACTAAATTAAAATCGCAGACTTCCATCATGTTATTAGACCTGCACGCACCGTGATGCATGGAAGCTGAACAGCAACTGTTTGACCGACAGATGATCCAATGAAGACTTCATTACTCGCAGTTTCTTGTGGAATTGACCCAATGGCAAGTGTTCGTCCATGGAGCTGCGCCTTGATCATCGTCTGACCGTTCTAAGTTGCCAAACATGGTCAATAGTAATATACTGCAATTATATATGGACAAATTATACGAAAAGTATACTTGTGGTATACGTGTCCGCATTGAGAATCGATGCAACGTTGCGGAAGTTTCTAATGGAAAAGCAATTCGCAGCGACGTATTTTGTAGTTCCAGGACTCCATTCGTTATAAAAGCTGCAGATGCGTCGGAAATCATCCATGTGGCGTGATCTTGCTGTTGTAAGGACGAAAGACTCGTGGTGGAGGTGGCATTCGCTGCCCAGATTCGGACATATTCGCACTCCCGAGCGCGGTGAATTGTTAGCGTCATTTTCTAATTAAATGTATTTAGAGTACATAGTTGTCAAAAATAAAAGTAGGCTTTGATGGGAATATAAAAACATCTGAGCGACTACCAGTGATAGATATATGCAAAGAGGTTACCGCGCAAATGAAGCTTTTAGGTTACATGAGAATGCCTATTTCGTTCTTACTTTTACTTGGAGTATATGTATGCCTTTCTATCTTCAATAAAATACATTCCATGGACCTGTGGCCCTACCACTCTCATCCAATAAATGTGATTATTGATCATGTCACTTCAT